ACTTATGCTAGTTCGCACTTATGCCAATGTTTGAAAATTCTTTCGGCGAACTTATGCCAGTTCGCGCTTGTGCCAGTTTGCACTTATGCCAGTTTTTGCAATTGATTCGCACTTATGCCAGTTCGCACTTATGCTAGTTCGCACTTATGCCAATGTTTGCAAATTCTTTCGGCGCACTTATGCCAGTTCGCGCTTGTGCTAGTTCGCACTTATGCCAGTTTTTGCAATTGATTCGCACTTATGCTAGTTCGCACTTATGCCAGTTCGCACTTATGCCAATGTTTGCAAATTCTTTTGGCGCACTTATGGCAGTTCGCGCTTGTGCCAGTTCGCACTTATGCCTGTTTTTGCAAGTGATTCGCACTTATGCCAGTTCGCACTTGTGCCAGTTCGCACTTATGCCAGTTCGCACTTATGCCAGTCGCACTTATGCAGATTCGCAGTTATGAAATTCGCACTTATTCAGTCGCCCCGCTTTTTATTCAAACCGAAATTAAAAATTTATGAAATAATAAAATTATAGAACCAAGCAAATCACCTTGGAGGGTACAAGTCGTAATTACTATGAACGACACAAAAAACGAATGTGTGTCAATTATTCCCTAACTATAAACAAATTCACTTACCTTGATACTTATTCTTTACCTAGAATAGATCAGATCAACGAATTGTCCCAAACTTTTTATTCGGAAAAAGTACATCCATTATAACAGTGTTCGTTTTCCCACTTAATCAGCAACCTAGAGACGCATTCACACTACTAAAAAACAATATTACCAATGCTGTTGTAAAAACAATTGATAAAACAATCCCGTTTGTTGTGGAAACCAATGCATCTGATTTTTCATTAGTTGCAACATTAAATCAGAATGAACAGCCAGTAGCATTCTTTTCAAAATCTCTAAACAAACATGAAATACATCAACCGGCTTTTGAAAAAGAAACATACGCAATTGTAGAAGCACTCTGGAAGTGGAAACATTATTTGACCAGACACAATTTTAGCTTAGTGACCGACCAACAAGTTGTTCTGTTTATGTTCAACCACAACCATCGAGGAAAAATTAAAAACGGCAAAATTATGCGATGGCGTACTGACCTTGGTTGCTACAGTTACAACATACAGTATCGACCAGGTAAGTATAACCAAGCAGCTGATTGTTTAACACGTTCCTCATGTTCTACCTTATTAAATCAAAAATTACCTAATAATAAAAACACAAATTTGACATGTTCCTGTATATGTAATAACAAACTAATGGGAAACTGTGCAACAAGATGCATTCCACTTAAAACAACCATTACTGTGCGCTGCAACAAATGCAACGCAAATAAGAAGTTCTTCAATTTTCCACGGAGATCTTCAAACGGACAATCTATCCCAACCTGGCTGCTATTACAAGAAAAAGTGTTTGCCGAAAATGAAGCCGAGCCTCAGTATGCTCACATCAAATTTCCAGTCGGAAGAGAATCTACAGTATCTATAAAAGATATAGCGCCAATAGGAGATAGTGAACCTCCCCGTTCGGATAATGAAAACGCTAATACAAATAGTAGCAATCACTCAGAGTATACTTCGCAACTTCACAAGTCTCTAGTTACAAACAAAGATACTTTACTTGATCATGACTTGGAATTGTAACGCACTCGCATATGCAACCAAGCTTCCAAAACGATCGAAACCAGCAAAAACGGAGAGCTTCCGGAGAAACTTTTCTATTGTGTAATTTACATATGATAGATAAAACCTTAGATATTAAAAGGTGTTATTATTTTAAGAATCGAGTCACGATTTTAGTTTCTCCTACAAAACCTCTCGTAGATGCTTTGAAACCATTTTCCAAAATTTTTTCCTAAAAATCAATTTGTAGAAAGGAAATATTGTGAAGCAAAGCAAGATGCAACAGTGTCTATCTATAAAGACATTGTTGTATCAAGATACAATGTTGTATCTTGATACAACAATATCTATATTTGTTGGTTTTATTTGTAAAGGGATATTGCAAACAAATTCCAAAACAACATTCCACTGTCACACCTGTTCTGATAATATGGGGCGTTGTCCCCTATCACATGGATATGCTGATGCGCTTCTAAAACCTGTTTAATGGGTGAATCGGTAAAAACTTGTGAACCTTGAACACATCTAGTCCATTGAATAAAATTTGAAGAACCTTTAATTACATAACAGTTGAATAAAAAATACTCTTTTGTTTCGATACAACTCTGTATTTTCTCCCTCAGAACTTGTTATAGGATATGATCCATCTATTGTTCCAGTATATCCAGGAAATCCTCAACGTTCTTAAAATCTAAAAAAATTAAAAATACTGTTTATATATTTATAAAACTTTAATTTCATAAAAAGAAGCAATATCTGATATACAAGATGTTATTAATAAAATTATAAGTATATGTGTGTATATCAGCTACTTCTTTTTATGAAATTGATGTTTCATTTATACATGTTTTATGTGTTTCTCTTTCTGTAAGTTAATCAGGAAGATGATGATGAACATACATATTCATTATATGCATATATCAAGGAGGTTTAAAAAACAAGAGACGCCGTAGTATTTACTTTATATAAAACACGATTAAGCCAGTTTTGAAAGTCAGCCGCCATCTTGGTTAACTCAAAATGTTGTTATGTTTTGCGCGGAACTTTATATTTTTAAGAGAAAACTTTGCTGAAAACAAGTCAAAATATAGATATAAATGATTAAATAATTTGCCAGTTGTTTCCAAGGTTGTAATAAACTACAAAGAATTGTTTGCTAACTGATTATCGGGTTCAGTTTATTCCAAAATATTGGAATACTGAAGTAGACATTCAGATAGTAAACACGCTTTTAGAAGATGCCATATTTTACACAGTGTGAACATCTTATGTAATAAAAAAGATTATGAGTTTTTTATTTAAGTTTAACAAAATTAAATGTAAAAGTAAATAAAAACAAATATATTAAATATACAAATTTATCTTTGAATCTCTTAATTGTTATGTATATATATATATATATATACACACATAAATGTATATATATATATATATATATATATATATATATATATATATATATATATATATATATATATATATATATATATATATATATATATATATATATATATATATATATATATGTGTGTATATATATATATATATATATACAAGTTTAAGAGACTTCTGGATTGGACTTATTGACAAACTTGACGAAGAGAAATGATCCGAGCACATTATTATGCTTACAATGTTTGTTTTTTTTTTGTTTTTTTGCTGTTGCAGCGTTAACTCTTGTTTCTTTTTTGCGTTCTAAGAACATCTCTTTCATCCAGTGTAGTTGTTCTATTATTATCAATTTTTTAGACGTTTCAAAGTTTTTTAAAGCTAAAAATCTTTTATTCAAAAAAGATTTAACTCAGGCTTTTAAAGCTTAAAAAACGCGTTTACCATATTTGATAAAAGATATAAAAGTACTAGAACAAGTTCAACACCTTGCCATCTCTTAGACATCTTAATTTATTACAGTATAAGATCTAAAATACATTTAACAATTCTTGATATAAGACGCGTTAAAGCCGATTTAATCCAAATGTTTAAACTTTTTAAAGGAGTATATATTCTTAGAAATTTAAATCTAGAAAAGTTTCAAAGAAACACTAAAGGTGTAAAAAATTAAATTGATAAGGACTATTAAAGTGGAGTTTAGAATCCTCCATATAATTGGGGCCATCCATAAATGGTGTCAGTAAATATAGGGGGAGGGGGCGTTTACATCTACAATGTGGTATAGAAATGGCATATTTGCTTTGTAGGGACTTCGATGTAAATTTCCTGGAGACATAAAATAAATTAAAAATTTACCAACGTTTAAATATTGTATTACCATTTGACTGAAAATCTCCATGTTTACAAATATCAACAGTTTGTATATAAATTTAACAATCATTATTCGATCCCTAGCGGATTATAAAATGTACTTCAAAGCAAACACATAAAGTCATTTGTCATTATTTTAAATACAATTGTCATTATTATCGAAGACCACTTCAACAACTCATGGGAAGATGATGAGTGATTGAATTTATATTATAGATATAGAATAAAAATTGGATTAGTTTGTTCATTATTTGATGAGGTATCAACTGTTCTATAATATAACTTGCTGAGATCTAGTATTATATAAAAGTATAATTTAACCAGAAAAAAATTAATGGTTTTACACATATTTTTAATGTTACTGTAGGGGAAGGGGGGGTAAACTATACTTATAAACAGGCCCGACGAGAGGGGGGCCAGAGGGGGTATTTTCCCCGGGCCCGGGCCCGTAGGGGCCCGGGCCCATCACCATCGGTCTCTTAGTCTATCAGGTCCCAGTCTCCAGGTAATCAGCCAATCCCCATCAAGCAACATTGTTTCTGCATCACTTCATCATATATAAAACCTGCAAACTTTGTCTTCATGAGAAGTTAGAAATTTTATCTTTTAATGGAAACAACCTGCTTAATAAAAAAGACGAAATATTATCTAAATGTCGACATTTAAATAAATTCCTGTTACCTTCGTTTGATACTGGAGATTAAATGATTGCGCCTTTTCAAATTACGTCAGAACTCGTTCTACTGTAAAATTTTGATTCGTTTTTTAAACGTTAATTTTTAATTTGTAATTAATAGCTGATGATTACCGAAAAGCAAGAAACTTTAAGTACTATTATAATGTTGTTTTTCTTCATTTAAATAAAATATATATTTATATATATATATATATTTTTTAATATATAAAGTTATATATATATATATATATATTATATACATATATCTATTTTATTTATACAGTATATACTGTACTGTACATTAAACTGAACTTCTATTTTAACTTTTAACAATTATTAATTGTCATTTATTTTAATTTGTCAATTTACTTATTAACTTAACTAATAAATTTTTGTTCTATTGTTACAGGACCTCGCATAGGCAGCTTACTACATGCAGCTATGGATCATTACCAGCATAAATCTGGTGCTCAAAAAAGAAAAGAAAAGATTGCTCGAGAAAAATCAGCCAAGAAGGGTCAAAGTACGATTGAGTCTTTTGGATTTATAAATTGTAATCGTATTGATGGTGTTTCTGAGGATCAGATGTGCAAGATGAAGTCACAACTCTCAAATGTTGAAGTAGAGCCAGTGCCAATTGAGGAAGATGAATTGTTAAATAGGAAAGTTATGAGTGCTGATGTGAAAGAGAATGTAATAGACGAAAATGAAAATATTCTTCCAAAGACATCAACTGCAAGGCTAGAAGAATTACAAGACAAGGCAGATGATGTCCAACTAGTTCCATCAAATAACTATGATATTGGTTTAATTAAGGAATTATTTTGCACTGCTGAACAAATAGAAAAATTTGTTCATCTTGGACCCATTGCTCACCCAACAAAATTTCCAAAAGATGCATTTCCTAAATCATTTCCGCGCAGGTTATTTCACATTGCCATGCCAAATGGCGAAAAAATTCCACGAGATTGGCTAACGTGGAGTGAGACGAAGAATGCACTTTACTGTTTTCCCTGCCGACTTTTCTCTAAAATGCCAGAAACCCATCGATCGACATTATCTCTGCCAACAGGATATTCCAAGCCCAAGGACAATAAATGGAAGAAACTTTATGAAAAAATTCCTCATCATCAATCCAGCAGTGGGCATAAGATGTGTTATGTAGAATGGAGACGAGTAGAAGAAAATCTCAGAGATAATACAACTATCAATTTTCTACTAAATGATAATATAAAGACAGAAGTGGAAAGATGGAGGCAAATACTTCGTAGAGTATTAGATGTTATCTTGTTTTTGGGTGAAAGAGGTCTTGCATTTAGAGGCGATAGTCATCTAATTGGTGACCCCAAAAATGGGAATTTTTTGGGAATTATGGAACTCATTGGTCATTACGATTCCATTCTACATGATTATCTCGAAAAAGTAAAAGCTTCTCAACAGAGCCATAAGCAAATGCAAGCACATTATTTGTCAAATGATATCCAGAATGAGTTTATTCAGTGCTGTGCAGATAAAGTCACAGATGTAATATAAGATGAGAGGGAGAAATGCAAATATTTTTCAATGATTGTGGATGCAACGCCTGATACAGCTCATATTGAGCAAAATGTTTTTATTTTAAGATACGTCTTACAGGACAAATTGACAGGAAAATATGAGGTAAAAGAGAGATTTCTGGAATTTGTAGATTGCAATAAAAAAACTGGTGAAGATATTGCAAATATAATTACTTCTACTCTTCAGAAACATAAAATACCACTGATGTGCTGTCGTGGACAAGGATACGACAATGGGAGTAATATGAAAGGTTCAGTCAAGGGAGCACAAGCTCGAATTCTTCAACATTATCCACTTGCTACTTACTCTCCCTGTGCTTGTCATAGTCTGCATTTATGCGGTGCACAAGCTGCTGAATGTTGTCCTCAAGCGATAACTTTCTTTGGGATAGTGCAAAAACTGTATAACATATTTAGTAGCAGTCCTCAAAGATGGGAAATTTAAAAAAAAAATATTGTTTCGTCTCTTCATATGTCCCAAACGCGCTGGTCAGCCATTAAGCCATTCGCAACCCACCTTCCTGGTATAATCAAATCAGTAGCTGATATAAGGAACCTAAATTTGTCTATAGAAAATCGTGCTGATCTAAATGGGATTATTTCATATATGGAATCGTTTGAATGCATTCTGATGTCCGCTATATGGTTCAAAGTACTTACTGCTATCAATTACACAAATCTTGTTTTGCAAGCACGGAATGCTACATTGGATGTAGAAGTGACCAACATCAAACGACTAATTGATGAATTAAAAACTCTTCGAGATAAATGGGATGCTATTATGGTGGAGAGTAAATTAGTTGCAAACACCTTAAACATTTCTCAAGAACTTCCAGAACCTAGACGAAAAATTAGGAAGCGATTTGCTGATGAGACACCTGATGAAATTTCTCTATCAAATTCTGAAAATAATTTTAAACAAAACGTTTTTTATATATTATTGGACTGCATTATAGGGAATATCAGTAGACGATATGAAGCTGCATTTAAAATTGACGAAATTTTAAATTTCTCTGGAAGTATAATCATTACGAAGAGGAAGAAATTCGCCGAAGGAGTAAGGATTTTGTGAATAAATACAAGGATGATGTTTCCATGGAGCTGATTGATGAGCTTTTGCATTTGAAATTTATCCATGATGTTAACATCAAAAATAATTTGGACCCCTTTCTTCTTCTCAATAAAATCAACGACCTGAAACTTATATGTCTTTTCCCCAACATTTGTATTGGCCTGAGAATTTTTTGTACATTACCAGTTACGGTAGCACAAGCTGAACGGTCTTTTAGCAGACTGGCGCTTATAAAAAATGATCTAAGATCATTTACGCAAGGTAGAGTTTCTGGCTTGGGAATTTTAGCGATGGAGTGTGATTTAGCAAAAAAGATCAATTTTGACAGTGTAATTGCTGATTTTGCCAGTAGGAAAGCGAGGAAAGTTTTAATCTAACTTACAGGTTTTATATATTTTAATTTTGTTGTAGTTAAATTATATATAATTTTTCACTGTATTGTATTTAAAATATACTTGTAAATAAAATACTGTATATAGCCAAATTAAAAAATTATTTGTATCAAAAGTAGTATTATTCATATGTCTGAAGCCCTAAGCCCTGAGGGGGCCCGTCAGTTTGATATTACCCCAGGCCCGGTACCAGCTCTCCACGGCCCTGCTTATAAAACAAGTTTTTTTTTTTTTTTTTTTTTTCAATTCATTTGCTTTTGGCATATTTGAAATTGTATCTAGAAATGTCAATGCTGATGGAACAAATGGCATTTTGAAAGTTATTTAACTTTGGAACGTCATTTGTCAGTATTTTTATATAAAATTACCAATTTGTTTTGCCTGACGTTCCTGAGTGAACTTTTAAAACTGACTTACGAAATGAAATCTTCAATTTTGGTATTTTTGCTATCAGTGATCCACTGTTCAACGGCTTGCGCTCTAGTTAATTTCCACTTTTACATCTTTTTCTTCTTTTTAAATTGCACCCTATTGCACGTTTGCGCCATTTACTGTTCTGAAAGAGAATAAAGAATCTGAATGATTCATGCGGCTGTGGTCGTCTAAGCAAAGTTTTCCATTCAACTTCAAAGTATTAATAACAATTAACAAGGTTGAAACTGCCCATTTTAATTCAAAAATTGTAATTGAGGCGCTTTCTTTGCTAACGATGTCATAACCGAAAATAAACCAAGTTGCAATTAAGGGCTATACTATTATGAATATTATTTATAGTTCTGCTTTTCGTATCAGAGAAATATTTTGGCATTATGAGAAAGACTAAAATGTTTGATATACGGAACGATTTTATCAACAAAAAGTTTGTTTAGGAAGTTATTTATGAGACTGAATGAAAATAATCAAAGGTTAATCATACTTAACGTTATAGCCCTTACATAATTGTATGACATATTTCCTTTGACGTTGTTACATTATAGTCTACATTTAATCTCGATTTATTAAAAGTAACAGTATTAAGGATGAAATTATGCGATACTATTTTTAAATGAATGTATTTAGGACTATTTTTATTAAAATATTTTAAATTAGCTGGTAAGTTGTAATACTCTAATCATATTATTGCCAATATAATGTTGCCAAAATTAATATTATCAGATTTTTACGTATTATTTTACTTAAAATAAATGCCAAGAATGTAATAAAAAGAAATGTTTTATAATTGTTGCAAAAGTTGATTTTAATATATATTTATTTATGTGGTTTCCACTATAAGCTAGGTTTTACTTGAATTATAATTACTCGAACTATAAAAAATATGAAATATTAAAAAAAAAAATTTTAATTAAGCAACTGATATGTTTGCTTAAAGTTAGTACACTAAAAATTTTAAATTAATACACCTTAATGTGCATGTCTATATAAATGTTTTGGTGAACAAATCATTTTTTGTGTTTTAATAATGTGCTCTTTATACATTCAAACACAAATTTATGTTGCTGATACATTTTCGTTCATCAAAAAATCAATTTTGCAAAGTCAAGGTGATACTCTTAGTCCAGGGTCAAAATTTCAGACTATTATACGAAAAAATAAAAATGTTGACAAAATCATATACTTAGTAATTTAAAAATAACAAATTTATTGTTAAAATAAATTTAAATAAAAAATGAGTTAAAAATAAACAAAACTCATATATTATCAAATAACTATTTTTTATTGAAAAACTACCTATAGATTAGGGTTGCCAGACATCCAACTTTTATGGAGGAAAATACAGCGCCAAGCTTGTAAAAACAAATTTTTGTATTGTATTCTCCTTTGTAAAAGCTGGACAACTGGCAACCCTAACATAGATTATATTTTTGGAAAGCATGAGGGTAGGCATTTGAGAAAACAATGTTTATTCTTTCTTGTGATATATTGATGGAGCAAACTCTAAACATTTATATTTTTATACTAATGTCAAATAAGGATGCCTTGCGAAAAAATTGCCTTAGAGTCTGGGGACAAAAAAGGTTTAAACTTCGGTAACTGCCCTAAACGTGAAAGCAATAAGTTGATAAAATATTTTTTTTACTATTCTCAACTAAATTTATATTCATCAATATCTTTTGAATTTCATATAATAATCTCATTAAAAAATTCATGACCTTATTAAATTTGTAACCTCTAATGGAGGAGGTTCAAACTTTATATATTTATAATTTTTGAGTGCTAAGAGATTGTTGTATGAAACTTAAAGTTTGTTAATGAATAAAAATTTGCGGGCAATTTAATTGACCAGTTAGCTATCTCAAACATCAAAAATGCTCTACTAGCCCCTGGTAATTTATCAAATTTGAGATTCTTTGTTGAGGCAAAATCATTTTCCTCAGCTTTTTATTCAAAGTAACCTCTACATTATTTTGAGTTATGTTTAGGATTGTTTTGCTGGTATAAATTTAGTACCATATAATTTGAAATTTTGATCATTGTTTATAAATATTGTTTAAAAGTGATACTTTAGTATAAATAGTATAAAAATTTACTAAATAATTTTTTTTTTTTGCTCTAGACCTTATAAGCGCAAGATAAACATTTTGCTTATATGCAAATGATATAAAGTGTTAAAATAAGCACAGTTTTTTTTTTGTTTGTTTTCCACAAATATGATGTCTAGATTAATTTTATCATTGATTAAGAACGTTAAACAGAAATTATGAACAAAATAATCTTGAGGTTTCAGTTAGCAACTAAGATTTATTTTGAAACTTTATTAAATTTGAATTATTTGTCGTAATTTATAAAAACAGTTATAATTGCCATTAGAAATTAAAATTATGACCATATAAAGTTTGAAGCTGAGAGCTTATATTATGAATCTTGAAATTTATAGATGAATATAATTCTAGTTAAGAGTAGTAAAAAAAAATATTTTATCAAGTTGTTGCTCTCAGGTTTTAGGCAGGGTGGCATAATTTTTTTGTTTGTTTCCATGCTCTAATCATTGCAATTTTTTGAAAAACAGCCTTACTTGACATAAGTTTAAACATATAAATATTTGGGGTTTGTTCGATGGTTGGGAGTTAGTTATCCTAAAAACCAAAGAATGCTGCATCCTTCCCTGCTCATATATATATATATATATATATATATATATATATATATATATATATATATATATATATATATATATATATATATATATATATATATATATATATACTGTATATTTTACTTCAAAGTTGACCTATTTTGTATAAGGAAACTAACAATACCAAGAAATCATAATCCCAGAGGTTAAAACAGTTGCCAGACATTGCTGCCCCTCAGACCATTTTTAAGACCTGCTAGAGGTGGGCAACCAACCATTGTTCATCTGTGGATTGCCCTCTTAGATAGGTTTCATAAATACATATATACATGTATTGAATGAATGTTTAAAAATATAATTTGGTTACAGTTATATATTTAAATTCACAAATTTAAGTTCACAATATTTGGTTAAAAAATTAATATTTGTATAATTGAATTTTTTTAGAGATATAAAAGTGTCCAGGAAGTTGTTTATAAAATCAGAGTTACTATCATGTCTGATTCAAGCGAAATGTTTTCACTCTCTATTAATGAGTTACAAAAAAGATGGCTTGAAATTGGACCTTTTAACAAAATTTTGCCCACATTTTTTGCAGAAGTAGTTGAAACTAATCATATATTGTTTGAAGAAGTTGCAATTGTTGTTGCTATTACACTTGCATTTACATTTCATAGATATTTTCTTACTATTTTATTCTTGAAAGTATGTTAATTAGTTTTATGTTATGTATACTATCTATTTTATTTTAGTTTTATGTTATGTATCATGTCTTACTTTTTTGATTGGATTGAATTAAAATTATAATTTTTATGTGATGAAAAAGTCAGAATGAAAAACTTCCTTTAATAAATAAATTATTTATTTTCAAATAAAAATATTTTAAAGTTAACTTACTAAGGTTTGTTAATAAATCTAATCTTTGAAACCCCAAAATTCTATTCTCAAACTTTGTTTGAGAATTTTTTTGTCTCAATTAACTATTATTTCTATCAGTGCCAAAAATCATAACTGTCAGTACCAATATGAGATAGATAAGTTAACTGTTGCCAAAAATGAAAAAAATGAAGATTTGCATTTAATATTTATTTTTTACTTAACATTAGAAACCCTATTTTTATGTTGCTATTAGAAACCCTATTTTTATGTTGCTATTGTAAAGATTAAAAATTAATTATATTTATAACAGACAAAGTCAAACATATTAATTACAGGATTGATAACTTAATGTTACATAGCTATAACTTATAAGCACAAGTCCTTTATCCTTCAATAGTCATTAGAAAAGGAAAAAAAAAAATTATATATAATAGATAGAAATGATTCCGATAGTGTGCTTTGCATAAACTGGTTAGGCTCTGTAAAAGTTGCTATCAACTCAGCTTCAAAACACTTTTTCTTCTTCTATTGACACCTGCATTGATATACCCTTTAACAATAGCACATTCACATAGCCTAAAGGGCATATACCTTTTACTTTTTAATTATTAAGTAAAGATTTGAGATAAATTTAGTTGAATTCTATAATTCAAATTAATTATTCATAACTCTTAATAGTGAATAGAAATTTGGAACACAACCTAACTGCTGACCTAGAAGTGTTGCAGGTCTGCAAAAATTCGCCAACCTCATTTCTATGTATTTATGTATGTTTGTATGTATCAAACTCTCAGAGCTAAGAAAAATAAATTGGCATTATTAGAGGAAATTAAAAAAATTTTCAACACAAAGTTTTCAACATAACAACATAAAACCGAGATTGACAAAAAATTGCCACTTTTTTACAACTCAGACACTTTTTGATTGACCGTTAGGTCAATATTGCTGTATGCCGTCCCAATTCTGAGGGCTATATAT